GACGAGTTTATCGCATACAAACTATTAAAGTTATGAAAGAAAATTTTAATAGGGGTAGATTCAATTAATCTAAGAAAACACCCCAAGTACATGATGTGAGAATATAATAAAGATAAAAGAAGATTACTATATGTGTGTAGTTGGAGTTGGTAAAGTTGCATTATAGGTTTAGGAAATTGGAAGCTTAAATACTTTATCCAATGAGAATATCATGTACAAGTGATGGGAGATAAATGTTCACTCTCTTTCGAAGTAGAGCCCAAACGCCACAATATGACAATTTTTTGTGACATAAAGAATTGAGAACGACCCATATTATGGTGGGAATCATTTTTCATCTCCACCATACCATGTTTTATTTTATTTTTATTGTTTCACAATAAATATATGTAATAAATGAGTGGTTTTATAAATCAAGTTTTTCTAAATTTAATTCTTAGGAGTTATGTATTTATATACGGATATCAAAACACGATAGAAAATCTAAGATAACTCTATTCAGATATAATAGAATAGGTGTTTGTTGTCAAAAAAAAATCTAAGGTAATAAGGAAATATATTACGATAAACAATATAAGGAAAATTATATGCTTTATATAAAAGTTTGAGTAAAAGAAAGATTATAAAGAGAGCGAATATTATAAAGACAATAACTTTGTTGGCTGATAGAAAAGAAAGGAAAACGTCAACTTTTTTTGGGGCGAACGAAACGTACTTTAGTGTAAGAAACTGTGATAAAATGAGGGAAGAAAGGAGTGAACTTTTGCATTGGGTTCCATTATTTATCATAGAGTCGGCCTTTTTGTGGCTGCTTGTGGGCCTTTCTCATTTCACCGACCATTTTTACTTCTATTGCATCTCTGTTTTCGATTCTACATAAAAGTAGATACAGTTTCACCTTTGTATAAAATACTATAGTATAAGGAAGAAAAATAGATTAGTGTCAAATACTGTATACTGATACGTAGTACGCGTACTTCACATATAATGGGATTTCGATATGATCCCACGCGTTTGATTTACTCATCATCATTCCACCACATTATAAATTTTGTATCCACTATTTTCTTTTCTATTAGAACACGAAAATAAAATGGAGTGTATCTTATGGTACTCCAAATCCAACCCTTTGATACCAAAAACAAAATCATGTACACAACAATAAGGGTGGAATTATTGTCCTAAATCCAAATCAGATCCAAAATCCGCTTGAGATCTGTTCTAAAAATTTGGATATCTACAAGAGTTGGACTCATATAGTAAAATTTTGGATCTGTCAAAACTGAATTTGAAATTAAATATCTTAATTTACAAGTCCGAATAATAAAAATTTGGATCCGGATCTAAATTTTCTAAATTCTGAATATTTGAATCTCTCTTACTATTACTAACCAAATCACCTAGATTTTGTAGTCCTCTTTCAAATGGGATTTATAACACATAATATCCTTTTTACATCGGAAATAAAAGTTTCATTCTAATTTACAATCATTTGACTAGTATCAGGGACTAACCATCTTGGTGCAAAACAATGTACATATGGAGAATTGAATACATGTGATTGAGCATTTTTTGTAAGACGGTCTACACATATATCTAAAGATTAAGGAATATAAGAACATGTCCAACGGTGGATATATTCTTCTCAAAATCTTAGCGATAAAATATTAATAGTTTTTATATTGTATGTTTCATATTTAAATTTAAACTTTTAAAATGATATTAGCCATTTAGACAATTACAAGTGTGCTTAGGGGGTTCTCAAGAGGATCCTGCAATGATTTTGTTTAGTGTTTAGAACGAATTCTTCAAAATATTTGTCTCTCTCCCACTTTTTAAAATTTTAATCATTTTAGTGTTCCAGTGACAAAAAAATAATCATTTTAGTGTCTTATAAATTTTCTTTACATATTAACGATGGAATTGATCTAAAAGACTGAGATTTTAAGAAGTTGATGAAGCTTTTATCTCGTGCCAAGACCGGCAGTCCTCCGCCTTGTTAATAAGTTTGACAAGTTGCTCATAGTCTGATTTAAAATGTATCCTCATTTTTCCATTTTTATCACTTCAGGCATTGCTCATATCACTTTTTACATTTTTAATCACTTCTTACATTGCCCATATCAATCTTTAGGCCTGCATGGAGGGGAGTTCGAGCATGTGTTTCACATTTTGTGTCGTAAAGAGTTGGAGTTCCGTCTTCTAAGACCATGAATCTGAGACGATTGCTTCCCTTTAACTTGCGTAGGAGGCAGCAACTTGACATATCCTATTATGAATCTGGCTTTGTAGCTCATTTGACAGTTTGTTGAGGTGTTGATCTATGACATCTTCAATTAGCTCGGGTATTGCTTGGGCAAGTTTCCAGTTTTACGCTTTTTCTATAAGTTAGGCTGTGTTTAGCATCGAGATGTCTTTATCGCTAAACGATTTTTTTGTTTCTCGTTTTCCTTTATAAAAGACAATATCGATGATAGAATCCATCATTGTATAATAGGAGGACATTCAAATATAATATGAGTTATAGATTCTACAATATACTTTACATCTGACACATGTAATATTATTTACACAATATCGATCTTTAGGACGCCTAGCCTTGGCATTAAATCCAGAGAGCTAATTTGATAGATGACATCTTCAATTAGCTCAGGTATTGCTTGGGCAAGTTTCCAGCTTTACGCTTCCTTTTCTATAAGTTAAGTTGTGTTTATCAGTGATATGTTTTTATTGGTAAACAATTTTTCGTTCCTCGTTTTCATATATAAAAGACAATATCAATGATATAGTCCATCTATAGTAGTTCTAAGACTTGATTGGTAGAACATTAACATAAATATTATGTTTTCTATTATCCAATCAACATTTACCAAATAAGTATTTACCAAATGCAAATGCTCTCTAAATTCTTTTTGTTCAATGCTCTCATATAGAGGTTTTAGGAGAGCATTTGCAGATAGAAAATATAAAACTTAAAAATAATTCTATATAATTTTTTTATATAAATTATAAGCATTTTTATTTTTAAAAAGAACAATATTTCACATTTAAAATATATTATAATTTATATAATTACATATATTGTTCATTATTTTTAACAACAAACAAAATATATATTTATATATTATCGATATAAACATATTATTTAGACACTAAGAAATAAATTGTATAACATATATTGATTCTTATGATAATTTTATATATGAATCATTTACTCCTCTACCAATAAATAAATAATAATACTTTATATATAAATTATAATTAATTAATTAGTGTGATAATATTAAAATATGTTTATATCCAAAATAAGTTAATATCTTTAAAATAAATTTTACATTTTAAATATAATTTATATAATGAATAAGATGCATTATTTTAAATAAAAATATATTATTAATATATTATTTTAAAAGAGATATATTATCATATTAACTATTATGACAATTTTAAAATTGTATAGTACTAATACTCTGCCAATTATTTTATTAAAAAATTTAATGAAAACATACAGTTTCTGCAATATACTGAGCTTTATCATCTGCCGTAACAATTGAGGTCCTAGGGATCCGTTCTACTCACACGGACTGATATAATACTTGGTATGTCTTGTCGATCAATATGTATCTCGGTCAATTGCAGTACAACAAACTAACTATCATATTTATTATTTTACTACAAAGTGAATACGAAGAGTGATTTGTCAGAGTGCTTGGCTGTTAAAATCTGCCACAATTCCAAATTCCCAAACATCACGCGCTCACTTCTCACGTGTACCTCAACCTTCTGGTCAAAGTTTGAACTAACGAATCATCCGACTGATTATTTAGTTTTAACTTTTACGTTTTAACCAAAAATATAAACATTATCTTATCACATTCCCATGTGACTAATCATGTGGTAAAATGCAAATCATAAATCCAAATTAAAAAAATACTGAAGTTCATTCTCTCGGACTGTTTTATGTAATAACAATTTGAGTGATATACAAGTCCAAATACTGTAGTTACCAAATAAGGTTTAAGTTTGTATACATTGAATGGCATCTTCTTTTTATGTTCCAGCTATATATATATACATTTTTTTTTTTGCAGAATTAATAAGTTAAAACGAATTTAATTAAGTCTTCAAAATTGAAAACCAAAAGCATTGGTTTCTCGTTGAGTCATGTAAATTGTTGTATACTCTTTTAACAGAACAACAACAAAAACATTGTCAATCGAGTCCTCCAAATAATTGTTCGGTATCTCATAGATGGTACAGTATATATATATACAACGTTGCATTTTTTTCTATTTTACAAAAGTTGGAAATAAACTCGGAATCGAGATAAAATTGAATTTAAGCAGTATCTACTTTTCATGAATTCTTTGTTTACATTTCAAACTAAATACTTCTATTACCAAAAGACTAAAACACAATCAAGTTGGAACTTGGAACATAGGTGTGAAAAATGAAAACCATATTATAGATAAGATCACAGATCGAAACCATGTGCACTTTCAAATGCAAACAGTTAAAAAAACAATTTGATCAAATAGAGAACCATTAAAAGTGATCAACACTCCACAAAAAACTCTAGACAAAATGCCGTAATAAAACCACCACGTTCGGTTGTGTGTAACTTAAGGCAAGTTTTTGAATGTGCACTTTAATTTAATGTATTCTATATTTCATAAGGTAACACATCCATAAATACAGTTTAATATATTACATTCATAGATGTAATCATATCTGTTAAAAAATACAGAGAGAAAAACAAATAAAACGAAATAAATAGAGGCAGTAATGGTTAGACACATGGATTTAAGGGTTTTTTTTCAAACTTGCTTTCATACCCGCGCACTAAACCAACCTTTTAAAAATTTATTTTCTTAAAATTTAAGAAATTTAAAAACAAAATACAGAGAGAGAGAGAGAGAGTTTTAAAAGAGGAGTCATGTGAAGGAGAGAGAGAGAGAGAGAGAGAGAGAGAGAGAGAGAGAGAGAGAGAGAGAGAGAGAGAGAGAGGAATGAGATTACAGTTCCAAAGAACAGTGAGAGAGGTTTCCAAAACAAAACCCAATATGTTCATGAATTGTCTGAAATCTGAATGATACCCAAAAAAATAAAATAAAATTCGATTTGGGACAAAAAAAAAAATCGAAACTTTTTGGTTTGTTTATTTCTTTCTATAAATTCCCATTTTCTCCGTTTCGTCAAAATTCACTCTTTGTGAACCTACGAATCCACAGACGATTCTGTGAATTTTAATTGAAAAAAGCAAGCAAGCGAGTGATGAAAATGAGTTTCTTTTTAATATAAAAAAGTTTGGGTTTTTATTAGTATCAAAGTTGGAGGGGTCGTCTCGTCTCTGTCTCTGTGTGGGATAGAGATAGTTTTTGGGTTTCAATAAAGGGACAAGGAGCGTCGACGAAATATTATTACAATAGACAAAGACGAGAGAGAGCGTCAGAGAGAGAAAATCAATGGAAGAGACAGCGAAGAAGAAGAAGATGAACGATGATTCCAAAAAGAAGGAGCGTCATATTGTTACCTGGTCACAAGAGGTTTCTCTCTATATATATTAATATGAGTTCATTACTGTTCTGTATGATCGAACAGTTTCTGAGATGTGTTTTGTTCACAGGAAGATGATATACTTCGAAAGCAAATCACTTTACATGGAACTGACAAGTTTGTTTCTTTCTTTCTCTTCTTCTTCTTCAATATCTGGTGGTTTTATTCGATTGATTCTGATGAAAAGATGGGATTTTGATGTGTTGATTGGTTTCAGTTGGGCGATCATTGCTTCTAACTTCACTGATAAGAGCACCAGGCAGTGTAGAAGAAGGTTTGTGTTCAAAATCTAAATGATTGTTTTATTTTTTTGTAGTTTTTTTTTGGTTTTGTTTAATAATCAGATAATGGGTTTTGGTTTTGGCAGATGGTATACATACTTAAACTCTGATTTCAAGAGAGGAGGTTGGTCCCCTGAAGAAGATACTCTTTTGTGTGAGGTTAGACATCTTCTTTTTATTTTATTTTATTACATTGTTGAAGAGTTTGTATCTCATCTTATGTGTCTGTGTTTTGGTTCCATAGGCACAGAGAGTGTTTGGGAACAGATGGACTGAGATTGCAAAAGTGGTCTCAGGCAGGTACATAACAAAAAAAGAGAGCTTTTAATGGTGAATGAAGTCTATGAAATGAATGTAGATGATAAAATGTCTTCTTTCTTGTTTTGGTGTAGAACGGATAATGCAGTGAAGAACAGGTTCACGACACTCTGCAAGAAGAGAGCTAAGTATGAAGCTATGGCTAAAGACAATAGACTTGCTTCTTGTGTCAACTCAAACAACAAAAGGATGTTACTCCCAGATTGTGGTGTCAGTACACCGCAGAAAGCCGAAAGCCACTCCCCTCTTGCTAAAAAGATGAGGTGACAACCTTGTTTTCTTGGTTTCTCTTTTTGAGCTCTTACTGATACAAAGGAAGTGAGCTTTGAAATGTTTGGTCATGTTTCATTATTTCAGGAGAAGTGACGCTCCAGATCTTACAGCGTTCAGTCGCTATGGGGATAGATCACACATAAAGGTTAACTCGGGTGTGAATCAGCATCTCTATGGGGATATATCACATATAAAGGTTGATTCGGGTGTGAATCAGCAGATAAGATCTCCACTTTTGGTACTAGCCCACAATGAGGAGAAGAATCAAGCAGACAGTGCCAAAGAGACTGAAGGTGAATATCTCAGTGCAAAATGTCGTCTCTTCTTGTTGCTTGTCCTGAAAACTGATGTGGTGAAGATGCATTATAATGAGTTCTTATTCTGTGAAGTTGTGTGTTTTTGGTAACCAGGTGAGGATAAAGAGGTGTTTCTTAAGAAGGATGATCCAATGGTAACATCTTTGATGCAACAAGCCGAGCTTCTCAGTTCATTGGCCCAGAAAGTTAATGCAGATAACACAGAACAAAGCATGGAGAATGCCTGGAAGGTAACTATTCTGCGGTTTTGCTGTGATTCTCAACCCAGTTTAGTCTCTCCACTTTGAAACTATTGACTGGAAATGAAAACACTTTCAAGATGTTTTACAACACACCATTTCAAGATTCTTTTGTGAGCCATCTAGTAACAGAAGTGTTGTTGTTGTTGTTCCTTATGGTGCAGGTCCTGCAAGATTTCTTTAATAAAAGCAAAGAGAATGATTTATTCAGATACGGACTACCTGATATCGATTTCCAACTTGAGGAATTTAAGGATCTTGTTGAGGACTTGAGGAGTAGTAATGAAGATAGTCAAGCATCTTGGAGGTTTTGAAACCACAACTCTTATAGTATGAATGATTGTTGTGTTCTACTGAAAACGGTTTCTGACATTTTAATGACCCTTTATAGGCAACCGGATCTCCATGATTCACCTGCAAGTTCTGACTATAGCTCAGGATCAACTACAATGCCGCATTCTTCTAGTGATCAAACCCAACAACCCATGTCTGGTTCTCAGACAGCAACACAGGAGTTAAATCCTACGGAGTTACTACCAGATAATGGGATTGTCTCTGATGCAACTGTGGAACCAGTGGATTTACTTTCAACTTGTCATGATGTTTTCCATAATGAGGTTGTGCCTGTGTCGGCCGACCAACAGTTTAACTCTCCTGTTCAAGTCACTCCATTGTTCAGATCTCTAGCAGCAGGCATCCCAAGCCCACAGTTCTCTGAAAGTGTAAGTTCGCACCTAGTTTATTGAGTAGTGCAATATATTCTGGTATAGTTTTATAAGGAGAAACCTGATGAATCTGTCTCTGCAGGAGAGGAACTTTGTGCTAAAAACACTTGGTGTTGAGTCCCCATGTCCAAGTGCTAATCTTTCACAACCACCTCCTTGCAAAAGAGTCCTTCTTGATAGCTTGTAAACCAAACCAAAGCTCTAAACCCAAAAAAAAACGTCCTCAAGACCGCGGTTATGTCTCCATGGAGCTGACATAACTTGCATTTCTTCTCTCTTTCTTCTTAGATTTTCTTCATATATAGGTTTTGCAGCCACATCGGCCTGAAAAGTTTTTGTGAAGCGGGCGTGCCATGATCTGCATTTTTTTTCCCTCAGTGTTCATAATCTAGAATCTAGAATGTTAAAGGTAACATTTCTAAGTCTAGACCTGAGTTTCTCTCTCAGATACTCAGGATTTCAGGAGTGTCATCACCATACTTAAAACCCATTTCATCAAAGGGTTAAGAAGTATGTGTGTTTTTTTTAAATTAATGACTGTGTGTAAGAAACATTCTTTTGTTTGTTCTCCCTCTTTTAGGGTCAAAAACCCGGATACATAATCCGGGTCTTTTCCTTCCCAATGAATTCTTGATTTGTTGTGTTCTTGATTCTCTGTACAGTGACCTATATATTACATTGAGATTGGAGTTTTTGTTTCAGAGTTTAAAAAGGGATAAACAACTGCAGAGAGGCATCTCGCTTTTCTATATACAGTGATGAATAGAAAACATGAAGAAGAAAAATGAAACATGAAGAAACATAGGGTTTTGGAGAATCTTCAGTTTTTTTGTTTATGTTAGTAACTTCTCAAAGGTGTGAGGAAAAGAAGATAGAAAATAAGGATAATTTGTGGTTTCCTGTAAAACCCTTTCAGAAGATTCATGTGATTTGTAAGAGATTATTCTGAGTTGAAGTGATTTGATTTTGGTGTGAATTATCATATCTTTACAACAATTATAGACGTACCTATGTTTCCTTGTTCTTCTCTTTTCTCCATGGTTTTACTTGCAGAGTTAAATGAAGAGGGTTCTCAGTTGGGTCCTGATCTGCTTCTCTATAAAATGGGAAGAGTTAAAGCAAGTGTTAGTTAGTGGAAGACAAAACGTAATCATCACTTTTCTTACCTTTTGTTTTTAGTTTGAAATGTCCAACCGCTCTTTTTTCTGTACTCCTAATCCGGTTTTCAGTTCATATAATCATTTTCTACAAAACTGACCATAGTACCGGTCGGTCAGACCAAGAACCGGTTTTGGTCTGGTTAACATCAAAACCTAAATCTTTTTTTAACCTTTAAAACCAGTGATCTCGGTTGAATAGTAACTTGGGGTCCAACTTTTGGTGTTGATAATGCTGGCACTCCAAGTCTCCAATACGTCCACCAAAATAGGTCTGGGCTTCCGGGTCCTCGGGTCGGGTTCGGACTGGGTCATGCCGGGTCCAAGTCTTTCGTGTCTTGGAAATTTAGACCCATATGGGTACCTATAATTTTTCGGGTCGGTTTCGGGTTGGGTATTGCCGGGTCCGAGTCGGTTCGGGTCTATAATTCCAATACCTGTAAAATACCCGTAATTTTTGGATCCATATCGGGTCCGGATCGGGTCCGGGTATTTAGAATCTAAAAAATACATAATATGCTCAAACTAACTCAAATTCAGTCAATATTTTTCATATATATCTAGAATTTTATAAAATAACTTAATTTAAAGTATTAATAATTAAAGAAAACATTTTTAAACTCTAAATTATACATTTTAAAACTTTATCTTACTTAAAAATGTTACAAATAATAATAAATATTGTTAACAAAATATATTTCAACTAAATTATAAAATAGTATAGATATATAAAACATAACACAAAAATAATAGTTTTGGATATACATGTTTATAAATCGGGTACAAATTGGTTCTTATCGGGTCGGTTCTTTTCGGGTCCGGGTCTATTCGGATCGGTTCTTTTCGGGTCTGGGTCTATTTGGGTAAAAGAATTTTAGACCCAATAGGTACTTGTAAATTTTCGGGTCGGGTTCATGTCAGGTATTTTTGGGTCGGTTCCGGTTCGGGTCATCGGATCCGGGTAAAATACCCAGACCTACATTAAAATAGATACATTGATTTACATGATATTTTAATAGTTTCAAAAATAAAACGTCTCAACAGTTTTGTTGATTGAATTATTCAGAGGGTTGGGGGAATTGGAAATAAGAAACTCGTGCATGATATATAGGTATTATATCAGATCATGGAATTAATAAAATATCAAAAAACGTTTATAAGAATACAAAGGTGATAAGATTCTTTTGTGTAAAGGAAAAGATGATAATATTGTTTTTGTCTTGATGATAATATTGTTGATAAATAAAAGAAGCTTGACAGCATAAGTTATGATAGCAACTATAATAATTTTTTTTTTAAACTACAATAATATGCATATGCACTAACACATTTTGTAAAATACGTGTAAGCTCTTTTTGTTTTTTTATTCATGAGTATTCATAACGGATGGCTCAAAGGATAGATCGTACTCTCACAGATGATATATGGTTACATATACATAATAAGGGTGCTTATATAGATATATAGTTTTGAAATAGTCAAAAGATGAATATTTACATGTAACATGCTCCGTATTGAAACCTTAGATATTCATACAAATCACTTGGTGTTTTATATCAATAATATGCATATTGTGTATACAACGGCCATCGAATTAATACGACCATATATGAAACTATTGTTAATCACCATTTGATTTCTTTTGTTTTGCTGCGATTAGTAGTGTTTGTTTGATTCTTCACTGTTAATTAATAAAAAACTATCATATTCGATTTTCGAAAACGTGGCAACTGTCAAGGTGTAATATGGACAAAATTGCTCTTGTATATGTGTCGGTCCACTGTGATGTGAATAGATCGACAGGGGAATGTGTTGGGTCAATGCATGGAATAAAGCTTATACTACTATACTATTACACTTGAAAATTAAATGTTACAAAAGCGTGTAAGCCACCTCTTTATCATTAAACACCAGTCTAAACCTTGATGTAACCAATATGAATTTAATAAACCTTTAGGATTTATCTAGATTATCATTCGAATCTCTTACCACATTAATATCACCTCAGCGACTGGATATCATTTCTAGATTTGATTCAATATCATACAAATGAGTTTTTTTTCTTAAAGTTAAAAACATAAAGTTAGAGACTTTACTTTACAATCTGACGCGGATGTGCTGACGCAAGCAAATACGTAACCCTAAACCTTTACTAAACTATCCCTTCTCAATACCCAAAGTACCCCGGCATAAACCACTGAGATTCGCGGAACGTAAGGGTACTATAGTAATTTACGGGAAAAGCCAAGGACCATGGCGAACAAAGAAGAAGGGTAGAATCGTAGTTTAGCATAAACCACTGCGACTTTTGAAATGTAAAGGTGTGCTGTGCTGTGCTGTGATGTGCATCTCTGTCTTCTTTCACGTTCCCTCTTCTCTCCTACTGATATTTTTGTTTTTGTCTTAGAATCTTCCTTTTTTCACCAAAAGTATTATCAATTTACCGGTCTCAGTTACACCTACACTTAACGCCGCTGAGTAATCAATAAGGAAAGATAGATAGAATAAGAAGAAGAAGAAGCTCGTTGGCTTCCATTTTCAGATTTTCTTGTGAAATTGTTTCTAGAGAGAAAAGAGTGGCTTTAATCTTAGGAAATGGGTAATTGTTTGAATTCATCAGCTAAAGTGGATAGTAATCCTCATGCTAATTCTGGTAACTTTCAAAGTTTCCTCCTTTATTCTACTTTTGTTTCTGGGTTAAATTCAAATCATTGATTCCAATCTAAAGTCTTCACCTTTAAGCTATTGGGATCTTCAAAAATCAATCCTTTTGAATTACCATCTCTGCAGCTGTCTGATTTAATAGTTTGGAACAAGTTTGTCTGTTCGTGTCTGATTTTTTAGATATTGTCTTTTGTGTGTCTAACTTAGGTTCATCGGGTTCTAGCAAGACAAGCCGTTCCACAGCTCCATCAAGCTTAAGCATCAACTCTTACAGTAGTTTAGAAGAGTCTTTGCCTACACCAAGAACTGAAGGAGAAATCTTGTCATCACCTAATCTTAAAGCTTTCACCTTTAACGACCTCAAGAGCGCTACTAGGAATTTCCGACCTGATAGTCTACTTGGTGAAGGAGGTTTTGGTTATGTATTTAAAGGTTGGCTTGATCGAACAACTCTTACTGCTTCCAAACCTGGTTCTGGTATGGTTGTCGCTGTTAAGAAGCTTAAGACTGAAGGTTTTCAAGGTCATAAGGAGTGGTTGGTACGTTCTTTGTTCACTATTAATCATAAAGTGTGTTGAGAGTTGTTTGCTGACATGTTTTTTTGTTTTTTGGTTTTGGTTTTAGACTGAAGTGAACTATCTTGGTCAGCTTAGTCATCCAAATCTTGTCAAACTAGTTGGGTATTGTGTAGAAGGTGAAGACCGGTTGTTGGTGTATGAGTTCATGCCAAAAGGAAGCTTGGAGAATCATCTTTTTAGACGTATGTCAACATCTTATGTTCTTTATACAGTGTTTTGTATCCCCATCAGATGATTTTCTTTGGTCTTGCAGGTGGGGCGCAGCCACTAACATGGGCTATAAGGATGAAAGTTGCTACAGGTGCAGCTAAGGGGCTTACTTTTCTCCATGACGCTAAATCTCAAGTGATATACAGAGATTTTAAAGCTGCCAACATTCTTCTTGACGCTGTAATAAACCTCATTAGCAAACTCTCTTCAACCCCAGAGCTCGAGATGTCACTTCATTTCTAATTAAAACTTTTTTATTGATCTTAATCACAGGAATTCAATGCTAAACTTTCAGACTTTGGTCTAGCTAAAGCTGGTCCTACAGGTGACAGGACACATGTGTCCACACAAGTCGTGGGTACTCACGGATACGCAGCCCCTGAATATGTAGCCACAGGTTAGCTTTAAAATCTTTGTAGCCTTAGCTTATAAAGCTTTATCCCTTGGCTTCAAAAGCTACTTACCCCTTTACTTCAGAAGCGTTTAGCTTCTGCAGCTCATAGTTTCATACACATTACTTTCCTAAAACTCTTTAACTCACATCTGAATTTCCATGTACAGGACGGTTAACTGCTAAGAGTGATGTCTATAGTTTTGGTGTGGTACTACTTGAGTTACTCTCAGGACGAAGAGCCGTGGACAAATCTAAAGTAGGAGTGGAGCAGAGTCTAGTAGATTGGGCAAAACCGTATCTTGGCGACAGGAGAAAGCTCTTCCGGATAATGGACACGAGATTAGGAGGTCAGTATCCTCAAAAAGGAGCATACGTAGCTGCTAGTCTTGCCTTGCAATGCTTAAACCCTGACGCAAAACTCAGACCTAAAATGTCAGAAGTTTTGGCCAAGTTGGATCAGCTTGAATCAACAACTACTAAACCTGGAACTGGAACAAGACAAGGTCTGGTTGATTCTCCAAGAGGTAGTAATGGAACTGGAACAAGACAAGGTCAGATTGATTCTCCTAGAGGTAGTACTGGAACTGGAACCAGGCAAGGTCAGATTGTTTCCCCAAGAGGTAGTAATGGAACTGGAGCAAGACAAGGTCTGATTGATTCTCCAAGAGGTAGTAACGGATCTGTTGTACAGAAATCTCCGAGGAGATATAGTTATGATCGGTCTCTCTTGCACATCACTCCTGTTGCTTCTCCTTTGCCTTCTCAACTTCAATCTCCTCGTGTAAGATAGAATCACTATTTTATGTTGTAATGTATGTTACTGTGTTTAAACTAATGTATCTGTTCACACTACAACGGTTTGGTGTTCTTTTTTGGCATAAGCAACTTTAAATAGGTTTCTGTTGTAAAGTATGCTTCTCAGTGTAAATTAATGCATCTGTTCACAGCATGGATGTGGTTGTAATTAGGTGTGCATTCTGAGACTTCTGTTTTGAACTTTTAATCTTTTAAATTATGATTAGAAGACTTTGGTTCAGTTCGATTTCACATTATACAGTCTATTTTTAATTCATGAACAAACTGTAATTGATTAGAGAGATGCATTATAAGAACTACTATTTACTAAAAAACCTATTTGTTTGTGAAAACAAAGCATCTGACAGAAAAACTAAAGAGAACATGTCAAAGACTCAGGCAAACCAAACGAAAGTAAAAACACACTGAAAACATATGGAAACAAAAACAGTTAAAATGATTAAAAAGGTTTCAGAGCTTTGTCCAACAGTGTAAGGTGTTCAGAGGATGAATCTGGATTGCTCTCTCCATTGCCTCAAAAGGAATTCACCTTTTCCATTCAACTTTTGTCGATTTATCTGAAAATAAACATGAGCAGAATGTTAAGGTTTAAATTTTCAAGAGGCTTGTGTAGCTTTAGACTTCTTACCACCAATGTCCTTGGAAGACGAGAAAGATCTGTCACTGTTCATCGATCCTTTAGCTGAAGCAATGAGAAGTCTGTGAGCTCTTGGAGACATTGCACTCAGCTTATCATTGGCTACTATATGAGGAAGAGAGTGGCGCCTAGTTGTCCCGTTTTTCTCTGGCTTCTCTTGACCACCAATCCTCGGAGACCCTTGTCCTCCTCTTACTCTTGCCTTTGCAGACGCAGTTGGAGCCATGTAGCTTGGGATCTTTCTCCCGCTATGAATAAGCCCATCGTCTTGATGATGGTTTTCAATCTTTGTAGGCAGCGAAGCTCGTCTGTCGTTTGGTTTTGTGTCTTCAGACACAGCATTTCCATTCTCAGAGTTAATAATCAGAACGTCTGGCTCTTGGATATCTTCTTCAGCTTTGTCATTTCCCTCTGCGGTTTTGAGTTCACCTTTCTCTGGGTTATCCAGAACCAGTGCTTTCTCATCTTTCTCGAGATCAGTCTCTTTAGAAACTGTTTCAGGGCTATCTTTCACCTTTTCTTCTTCCTCAGGAGAATCAACTACAGAAGCTGAAACCTTGTCAGCAGGCAATTCTTTCTGCACTGAATCTACAATCTCTTTCTTCTTTTCAGCGGATTTGCGTGTAGGTTTCTCTACCCCATTAGAAAGTGGAGCCTTTTTGAGACTAATTCTCGGCTTCTCATCTTTAACCTCCAATGAAGACTCTTCTTTTATGGCGCTAGTACTTTTTCTCGAACTCTGCTTCGACTTGTCATTCAGCTCTTTACCAAGCGTGGAAGCCTTCCTCACAGTTCTCTTAGGCTTTTCGTTATCAGCTGCAGAACGGCTACTAGAGCTAGTTCCAGTACTCAAACCGCCGGACGGTTTCTTGATTCCTCTTTTAAGTTTTCCCTTGTCCGCTCCAACCGCTTGAAAGCTTCGCTTCTTCTGAGATTTCGGAACCAGACTCTTAACGACCAGTGGACCAGGAGACCAAACCTGCAACTGTGTCCAGCGCTCAAGCCACACCTTGGCTGCGTTAGGATCCTCAGGACCATACTGAATCTTCAGAGGCAAGAACTTTGGTGAGGAAACTAGAAGCTGAAAAAGTCAGAGAAGTATATAAGCAAGAGCACGTCAGAGAATCTCATAGCAAAAACGTTGATGTTACCTTATCAATCATGGAAAGCTTTGTGGGATTCTCAAGCCAACTGTATGTGGTGGTTACTTGTAAAGTCTCAGAAGTCCCAGTTTCCTACCAAACAAAAGAAATTAAAACATTGAAAGCACATTCCAGTAAAGGACATCAAAGTAGAGCTTTCAATACCGTATTTGTTTTCTGAAGTTGAACCTTGGTTTCTACGGCTCTAGCTTTCTTCCCGCGAACAAGAGCTTGCAACTTCACAATTCCCCAAATGCAAGAGTATGTAGCAACAGCTTGTCTTCTAACCAAGTGACCACGGATAACTGCTTGCAGCTTTATGACACCTTTAAGCTTTTGAAATTCTTCACGGGCCTTCAGAAAACAAAAGAGTATCAGCAGAATAACAAACAAAAACTCAATACTATAATGTAGAAATAGAGCCCACCTGATGAGATCTGACAGCAGCTTGGACCTTTGTAGCTGCTTCTTCAAGTTTGAGTTCTTCAGTGCCATTCCCTGACTCAAGATTCACAACTGGCTCATCACCTTCGATGTCTCTACTTGGCTGCTGCTCAGGGACTACAACATCTGGGGCTAGTACAGTTTGTGTAGCTGCAACTTCTTGTGATGAAACTACCGGAGGGACGTTGGTAGGTAAGTTTGAGACATTATTATCCTTCACCTTAATCACAAGCTCTTCTTTCTTTGCAGATCTCTGTAACATATGAACAGTGTTTACAGTCACATATCACTATATTTTTAAAACATTAGAAAAATATAAAAATATTCTTCCATGTTCTTACCAGCTTCTCACTTACTTTCTCCAAACTCGATTTTGATGACTTCTTCCCAAGTAGAGACTTGATCCATTTACCAGGACTTGGAGTCTTCCCCATTTCTTAATGTCTACAATTAGAAAGTTTCTACAGAAATAGCAACCTGCATTTGGTATTAGCAACAAACAAAGTCTGTGAATTCAGGTGATACTCGGCAAATCTATTGTCGCAAATGTAACATTCCATATATAGAATCACAAATCTGTTGATGGAAACCCTAGAAAGACACTCACACAGACCCCATTAAGTAGAGTGGCAAAAGCAGAGATTTTGACGATATTAAACCAAAACCCATTTCGATTTAACAGAGAAACAAGCGGGAAAACGAGGAAAGAGTGAAACCCCAAAACGCTTTTCGAAACATATTGGCAGAGACAAAATCGAGTTTGTAAACAAAATCAAAGAGTGAAAGAAGATGGAGTGACAGTGAATGTAGCTGAAGATGTACCGAATCGACTCTTTTTGATCTTCAAAATGTTGTTCTTTGGCTCCTCTCGCCGGAGGAGTGCCCTAAATAGCAAAAGTGGTTACAGTTAAGTGAGTAATTACACTCACCGTTTGTAAAGTGAGAGAAAAAGACGGGGTCGAAACGACATCGTTGTAAGTATGGGCCTAAATTAATGGGCTATATGATGGTATGAGTTTAACTAAGTAGTTTGTATAACTTTTTTTTCGAACAACAGTAGTTTGTATAACAATTTCTGAAAACTGTCATTATCAGAGTTGTTAATCCGCTGACTCCTGACATTAAATGTTTATTAATTACGTGTTTCCAAAAAAAAAAAAACAAATTTACGTGTTGCATTCCATTTTCCAAAATCAAGAGACTAGGGAGTCCTTTGTCAAGGAGTCTTTTCATTTAGTATAGTTTAATTAGTTAATACTTCAAAATCTTATCACTTTAATTCAGATAAAATTGTAAGATGTATCATAAAGTAAATATGAAGGTCACCACCCTGAGTATTGATAAAAAAACAAAACAATTTTCGAACTATTTGAAAACTCGGTCTATATCTTTTGTATCGCACATATATTAATGCATTTGTTGGATAAAAATTAATGTATCGTTGAAATTAATGTAAGTGTAACATTTTTAATAATGCAAACAGATAATCTAAAATTTTAACTATGATATGATCAATGCAAAAAAAACTATGACATGATATAGTCAAATAGTTTATACTAATACTAGGTGTTTTGCCCGCACATGCGGGCTTAGCAATTTTATAATTACTTATTATTAATAAATGCATTACTAACTAAAATATTATAAGGATATATTTTTATTTGTATTTTCATTATTTTAATATATTAATTTATATATTTTCTGTATATGAATTTTTTAATTTTAATTTTTTTTTATAAAATATATATTTTTGGATAACAACACAATATATATAAGAATTATCTTTTTAAAATTAAAATTATTTTAATATATTAATTTATGTATTTTCTGTATATGAATTTTGAATTTTAATTTTTTTATAAAAGATATTTTTGGATAACAACACAATATATATAAGAATTATCTTTATAAAAGAAAATCTATATTTTCGATTTTGATTAATTCTGTTATTAATTTTAACAAATTATCTAGTAAATGAATATTAAATTTGTTTTTTTATTTTTAGATAATTTATATAGTTTATTCATTAAGGGTATAATCAATTATATATAAAACTAAGATATATAAGCATTATCATGTTGTTATAATATTATATTCAGATAATAACAACATATATAAGAATTATCTTATTTTTGATTTTTGATAAACTTATTATGCTAATTATTCTTTATTATCTAAGATAATAACATACTTATCTAATTTTAATTTTTAAATTTCGTTTTGAATCATAAAATTAGTTATATATAAAAATTTCATTAAGGGTAAAATAGATATTAACCGCTCTAACTTTTAACATGAGAGCTCCGTCGCGAAAAATCACTTCGCAAATAATAGTATAGATTCACCTTAAGCTGAAAAAACACAAAATTTAATACGGGCTTGGACATTTTGGGTCTAAATGTGATAGAATAACGGGAGCGAAATACAAAGAAGCCCAAATAACGGTCTATTTATTTATTTATTTGAAATTAAATAGCAAAAGACTTGGATTTTCTAGGAGAAAATACTTTTATTAACACTGAAAATATATATAAATGGTTGATATTTTACTTCTTTTTGTTCGATATATAAATGTCTGTTGTAGAAAATATTAAATGATACTTTCGCAGTGACGATTGTTCCAAGGTGGTTGCATGTGCTTCATCGTCTAAAATCCATAAATACTTTTACAGTAAATAATTCTTAATACTTTCTTGAAGACACAACATCAGTAATTCTTTATCAAATAATGAAAAACCAGTAGTTTCACTGCACAATCATTAAACTAAAGAGAATTTAAATAAACAAATAAAAAATAAAAGAGAAAGTAAATGAACAGTTCATCGGAACAAAAGAACACAGCTCGACATTTGTTAGAATCTCAACACTTTAAAAGAAAAGAACATAAACGTAATGGCTTCGTTTTCAGGTGAACAAGAAACGACATACATTTCTTGATCTCATTCTCACCGACAGGTGACCAAACATCATCTCTAACCTGTTCAATTACACAGATGTTTTGATCAAACAAGTGTTATCATACATGTTTTGAACAAATTCACGTGTTGCATTATTCAAAATGGTCCCTTTAAAAAAACAAAGCACATGATCATTTTGTTTTCAAAAATTAACAAAAGAACAACTAGCAATGGTGTTAAGTATCCTATGATCCAGTTTGGATTTTAATACATTTGATTTATTGTTAAGTCTGTTGACATTCACAATTACATATACCGGTCAATCAAAACTAGTTATTAACAAGTTGAACTAAATTAAACCAAAAATAGTCTATACATAATACAGTATATAATGTGAACTACGAGTTAAAAATAAAATAAAAAGCATAGTCCATGTTCTCCAATGTATTAAAAGTTTGAAAAATAGAATTAAAAAAAAAATCAAAGTCATGTTCTTCTATGCATTAAAACCAGTCTGTCAAGCAGAGGTTGTGCAATGTGCAGTAATGAACAAACAACCAAATATTAAAAAACAACTATAAGAAATGAAAGTTGGCATTAAATGCATCCACTTAATTTTCCCATGAACATCTTAACTCTCTTTTTTGATCCCAAGCTATACTCCATCTTCCCAATAGATCTGTCAGTCTCTGTGATCCCCCCCCCCCCC